TTGCCTCCTTGCCTCCTTGCCTCCTTCCGAAGCATACATGTGTAGCAAGAGTTTTCAGGGTTAAATCGCCGTAGATTTTGTAGTGGACTTTCTCTGTCTTAAGAGTAAATGGTTCCTCTGCCTTCTTCCTCAATGTTTTTGCACTGGAGCTCTATACGCTATGTAGTAGAACTTAGGCCTGGTTCACTTAGTCAATTACTAATGCGATATCATCAGCGAAATCAAGATCTGTGATTACAACGAGGCCCACGCGCCTACCCCGTCTTGGATGAATAGTGAAGCCGAGTTCTTCCTCGCGACCGCTTATTGCTTGGCGAAGAGCGTAGTCTAAAGCTATTACAATTTTTCTTCTTTATCATCATTCCTTCTTCTCTTTCTTCTTGCGAAGCATCCCCTTGGTCAAAATATCGTATGTATCCCATATTCCTCTTCTGACCACAAAACCGTATGCCAACGATTAATATTGAAGTCTTCGTTAAATTGCTCATTGTAAGTAGGCTAACATCTGCCATTAGGGTTTTTGTGTAATGTTTTATTTTTATTCCAGCCGTTGGCAGACGAGGACATCAAACAGAAGGAGTATGAACTGATGTCTTTCATCCCAGAGTATTACATCAAGGACATGTGCTCTTGGTTTTACTACGTTGCCGTCCACAATCCTAACATTCTCAAGGGATTCAAAGTAAGACAAAGAGAATTATATGCCCTTGGGTTTGTTCACAAACAATAGAAGAATGATAATATCGTAGTCGCTTGCGATACACAAGAAGAGAGAGAGAGCCAAAGGTGCATGGGTAGTGTAAGGCCTAGGGCAAACGTCGAACTTTCCATGCACCGAACTCATTAAAAACAATGGATATCAGGTGATAATGAGGCGGCATTCTTTGATGTAATTAAGTTTGGCGCATAGAAAGTTCGACGTTTGCCCTAGGACCCAAAGGTTCACTTACCCTGCTCCTTCGAAGTCTCTCTGTGGAAGTAACTTGATCACACTCCATCCATGTTTAACCCTAATAACAGATATTTTATAAAGCTCTTTTTTGTTATCTTCAGGTCATTCAATTCGTCGACTGCTGTGCTATTTTAATGGGATCCAAGGGATTCAAACCGGGTCCCATGGTGTGCAGTAAGATCGTCACCTCGCTATTGGCTTTTGCTGACAGCTGTGAAAAATACAAAAAGTACGAAACACTTCATTAATTCTTGATAAGCTTATTAACTTCACTAACTTATCATTGTTCTTCTCGCCTCATAATTACCATTCTCGAAGGGTAAACTGAGAGCAGATGTACTCTATCTTGTTGCCCTTCCATTTCCATACATTTCTTCCCGCTCGTGGGAGAAGGGTCGTAGTGAATCGACATCTGCTTGCAGTGGAGGGGTGGGAGGAGGAGGGGGGGTCAAAATTACCCATATTGTTTGTTAACTCGTGGATACGCAAAGTGTAGCTCAAGTGTGCTTTTATTTGGTAATTTACAATGGTCTTATTTCAATCGTAGGAAGAAGTCTTTACTGGCAACAGCAAGCTGGGGAAGGTAAGCGAACTGATTAACAAGTATAGCATCTTTTCTCGTTTACTCATCATCGATGTCAATGCTATTTATTACATAAATTGGATGGTAAGTGCACTCTGATTGGTCGAAAACTGTGCTTTAATAGAGAATGGAGCACAATGGATTCTGACGCCATCCGAAACTTTGCAAAGAATCGTAAGAACCCTCGTAAGAATCCTCAACGGAAAAAGCTGTTTTATTTGTTAAATTCTAGGGGAATCGAAGGTGATCTGGCAGCTTGTGTTAGAGTTTGTCCACTGATCCGCGAGAAACTCGCCTCAGGCCTTATACACACCTACACGTCCGTGGATGTCGTTGAGGGACTGGACGTCGACAAGGAAGAGTTTGATAAGTTCTCTTCAAGGTATTTAATGAAGTAAAACATTCAATGGGACTCAATAAGCGATTGTTGTAACTGAGAATGAGACTGAAGTTACAAGTTGTAATATCCTAGAGGAAGTGTTCTGCTACCTGGGGAGGGATTTTAACCTTACTCAGCGTAGTCGGTCGTTTCGATATAGTACGTATATATATATATGAGCAGCCACTAATTAACATCTTGTCACTTAGCTCAAACCTTCAAAAGTGGAACGCTTATCCAACGGAATTTGGTGGTCTTGCTGTACTCCCCCTGACCTGCGGTTGAGCTCCTTGTTTTTTCTTATTTCCCACCCTACCCTCCCTTACAATATTTTGGCCCATTGGAGAGAAACGCCATGTAGGTCTGCTCCTTTGAGGAGTATGGTGATACCGATATGAAAATAATGAAAATTCATGGTTTCGAGCTGTCAGTCCCAGAATGGTTGCAAAGGGTGCGTGTATTTGTATTCAGTATTCATTTATGTTTTTTTTGGTTTTGCTGTCTGTTGTAGGACAGAGATAGTCAACTTACTTGAGTATCTATGGAGAGACCCTGAGAGTAGAGGCATGCTTACCTCACGATGTGGAAAAGATGAAATACAGGTAAGACCGCACTTCTATATGATACTAAAATGCTGTCTCACTCACTGGACTTGTTCTTTCTCTATTTCTCTCAATCCTCCCCTCTTTCTTCTCCTAAAGCCAGTCCTGCCAACGATACTCCAAATTAAATGCTATGAATATGAAATACCATCTAGAACCGTTTTTGCTTTTAGCTTTTATGTCTTTATCATTTTTGAAACGCGTTGAATGGATCCCTTCCTTCCTTCCTTCCTTTTATCTGCTTAGCTTGTTTAGTATATTCTATGTCAATCTGTGTAGTGATGCTCTTTCATCATTTTTTCTATTTGATTATTATTATTTTCTTACTTTTGAAATTACCAGAGTACAAATAAACAGTTGTTGTTAAAATTAAAGTGATAACTTTACCTAGTTTTCAACTGTTGCTTTATAGGGTTTTCTGAGTGCTATTCTAGACACCTTATTCTATCTGCTAAACGACGGCTTATTGCGGATATCCAACGTGTGTAAGCTACAAAAATCTCTAGAAGACAGTGAGTAGTTTATGTATTTTTAAGCACGATTTGCGCGAATTGATCGACACCATTATTGTAACAAAGCTTTGTCTATGTGCCCCCTGGATTACCCACAATGCCTAGTGATTCAAGATGGCCGCCGCATCGTGGAAGTAATCCGTTGACCGTCAACTTTGTTGCGTTTTCTTTAACAGAAAAAGCATGGCAGGAACTAAGCACCAAAGAACAGGAAGAAAAGACTAATTTCCTTAGGAGTGAAGAACATGTATCCAAGTCATTTATGATCATGGTGAGAAGATTAAAGACTCGAATCACACTTCACCTTCCTTTTCGGCTACTCTTTTCGCCTTTCTCTCGCCTCGTCATTATTTGGCTTTGTTACTTAGGCTGTGAAGACGAAGGTGCCGGAGTTGCCTTTTCACCCCCACTTTTTGGGTATAATTTTAACTTCTCATTTTGTGAAAATAATCTATGTAATTAAAAATGTATGGCAAGAAAAACAGCAAAAAAAAGTTATTGCAGTTGATGACCTATGAAGGATTTATTTTAGGATTTGCCACTGAAAAATTTTATTGACTGTTTTCAGTTTCATCCACTTTTCAAACCGTTATGACGCCTCTGTTATATTTGGTAGAGATTTCCTTTTTTTCTTCACAGTCCAAAAATATTGGCCTTCTTAATAAATCCAACAGTCATTTATTTTTCGCTGTTGACGTTGAATTTATTCTTTTTTCGTCGAATTTATTTTTATATAATTTATTTAAAACAAACTATAATTGACGTCAAACGCCGAAAATAAGTCATGGTTGGATTTATTTTAAAGGGTCTGTACATGGAAAGTACATTTTGTTAATTGGTTTATTTTTTTATTTAAACTAGGCAAGCTCCACTCTGAGTTTCCTAGCCATGATTACAGAGGAAGACAAGGTTGCTCGCTGCTTTTCTAGGCCGCCGTTATCCCAGAGAGCTGCATCAGCGGTAAGAACCAAAACTGTCATGCTCCTTACATGATCTGGTGGTCGTCACTAGAAGGAACAGCTTTAGGCAGGGTCTACATGGGCGTTACCTGTTACATGGATGCACGTGTTGTATATGCAGAGGCACTTGGTCAAATGCTGTTATAAAGTCCTTATCATCATCCTTAACATTACTATTTGTCAGTTTTGGGTAAAGGGTTGGATGATTTATCTACATCCTTGTTCTGAATTGTGGGGTCTGGCAAAGCTATTGGATTACTTTTCAGAGCCCCTCTCTCTATTCCAAGGGAACTTTCAAGCTAAGATCTTTGCTTGTGTACCACCTTTGTAGATTATTGGATTCCTGGATACTCTTTGTGGGTCTCATAGATGTGAACTCAAGGTGAAGAAAATGGAAAAGTAAGCATTTTTCGCTTGCTTGGCATTAAACCATTTGCAGTCGTTTGTCTGGAAAAATAAAAGCCCGTGACAAGACCCAAAACTTACATGACATACGTGATTCATGTCGTGACGCAAGTCTTGCGTTATATTTGTGAACATTTATTATTCCAAAAAAGTTGCATAATTTCTGTTCCTTCTTTAGTTTCTGCGGGGGAAAAAAGGACTTTGGGCGAATGCATGCTGCTTAACATTGTTTTCTGATTGGCTAAGTTAAACTGGAACGAGAAAACCCGGTTTTCAATTATTGGATTCGCCTGGTGTCTGTCAGTTTCTGGCGGATAGCAAAAGGAACGTTGAATCTGTGGATTCAATATTTTTAACCTGCGCAACAATATATGACTTTCCAGTATCTCGTATAATGTGTCCTACCATGCTACAAGTGTGGCGCAAAATTTGTGATCACGCATTTAATCCTGACGTAATATATATAATTTGCATGCAGTTATTCGTTCAATCCACGTGACATCTTAGTCAAACTCGTCTCAATCCTCCTCCACATCGTAAAGTCTGGTCAAAAGGAAAACGATACCGAGTTCGTTAAGTCTATGGCCACTGACCCTGACTACAGCAGGCGCGTCATGATCCAAACTATTAAGACCCTAAAACAGAATGATCTTGCTCTGGCCGACACCTTAAAAGAACTTGAAAACTTCGTTTTGCAGGTAAGATTAGCCTTACCCTGCTAGCAGAGGTCCCTTTTTATTTTCGCCCAGTTTATATTTTTGCTATACTGGTTTTCGTTGTGAATTTCGGAAGGAACCTCTGCCCGGACTCCGGATTTTCCGTTTGAGCATGCGCATGTAAGTTACCGTCCAAATGCTTGGATGATAAGACGCACGCACAAAACCACAAAACGTTCTGTGGCAAAAATTGGGGCCGCAATAGGCGTGCGCATGACTAAATCAACATAAAACTGATCACAATCGAGCCCACTCCATGTTAACTGGTAACGGAATACCATTTAGAATGTACATTTTAGCAGTCATAATTATCGGGTTTCTCTTTTTAAAAAGTGTGGCGAAGTTAGAAAAGGACACGCAGGAGAGTCATCGGCTTCCAAGGTCACCGGAGAAGAGGAAGACGAAGAAGAAGAAGTTTCATTTGAGCAACAAGAAGAAGAAGGGGATAACGAGGATAGCGCTGAGGGTGTGAAGGAAGTAGCAGCTGCTTCTACTGAATCAATGGAGGAGATGTATTTGTTAAGGCTGAAGGATGCTTGTTACGATACTGCTGAACTAATGGTGAGTGCTCGTCCTCGTATGGTAATGAATTTGAACTTATCAATCATGACGTCCAATATGATGTCCAATAGGGTTCATATTACAGTGTGACTACACCAAACAAGGCCACCCAGACAAATAAACCAATTACGATTGAGTATTTCAACAATAAAATTCCTCAAATATTTTTTGCTTTTTTCCCTTTAAAAGCATATGTGTTTACTCCAGTACTTTATACATACATATATTATTGTATGCTTGTATATAAAAGTAAAAAATGACTATTGGCTATTCATTCTTTGCTTTTGGCCGAAACGTTAAATACAATTTTTTGGAACAGTTAGAAGTTGCCTTTTTCTCTTTTTACTTTTATATACGAGAATATTTCTATGAAGAGAGCAAACTGTTGAATTCTTTGGAATCCTTCTACTGGAAGTTCATCGTTGCTTTACCATCTATATTCAAGTTTATATATATTATTGTATGCATGATCAGAAGTGAACGAGGAATCTGTCACAATCCTGTTCCTCAGAGGCAAAAAAAGTGATTTGTGAACTTGAGTGTAATATAGTAAAGTTAAGACTTGTCCAATATGCTAAAGAGACGTTTGAAAGAACAAAGTTTATTATTTTTTACAGGATGTAACAGCCTTTCAGTGCTTTCGCTCACAACCTATAAATACAAGGTAAGTGATTCTAACAAAATGTCAAGGCCTTATGCGGCTCATGGTATGAATTGATGATTATGAAGATGACGGGATTTTAAAGGCTTTATTAAAGTTAAGAGCGCACTTGTTTTCCGTATAGTGTTAGCTTGAAATACCCTTAAAACAGAGTACTGATCCCTAGTTGTCTTGCGCACTTGTTTTCCGTGTAGTGTTACCCTTAAAACAGAGTACTGATCCCTAGTTGTCTTGGGCACTTGTTTCCGTGTAGTGTTAGCTTAAAATACCCCTTAAAACAGAGTACTGATCCCTAGTTGTCTTGTGCACTTGTTTCCGTGTAGTGTTAGCTTGAAATACCCTTAAAACAGAGTACTGATCCCTAGTTGTCTTGTGCACTTGTTTTCCGTGTAGTGTTAGTTTGAAATACCCTTAAAACAGAGTACTGATCCCTAGTTGTCTTGTGCACTTGTTTCCGTGTAGTGTTAGCTTAAAATACCCCTTAAAACAGAGTAATGATCCCTAGTGGTCTTGCGCACCTGTTTTCCGTGTAGTGTTAGCTTGAAATACCTTGAGGGAGTAAGGTGCGCACCGTCGTCTTTCGTTCATAAACGTGAAGTCTGAGTACTAAAAAAAACTGATGCTTAAAAATTGTTTTATCTTTTTTTAATTCATATAAGTATTCTTTCTTCATAAAAGTTTTTTTGGTTCATGTTACTTTGAAGGTCTGCTACGATCCGCACTCTGATGCGAGAGATAACACAGCTGAAGGAATCACTTCCGGTCCATCCCAACTCATCCATATTTGTGCGCCAGGTAAGATCGATGATGGTTGGTACGGGTTATTTACATCCACCCCTACCCCAGTCGTTCCCAACTTGTTTATATTTGTACGTCAGGTATGATGACCAAAAATGTCTCAAGTTATGAAGACCCGCCCTTATCCAATTTATTCTCGGCTCCCCTTCGATCTTATTCACTATAGGTGAGATCGATTTTAAGGTAACAGGTTACCTTTCAAGAACCCCCCCCCCCCCCCCCCCCCCCCCCCCACACAAACATTATTCCAAATATTGATGTACGACTGTCCTTCAGACCCTATATTCTCCACCTCATCTTTAATCTTTTTTTTTTTTGTAGGACGAAGAACGAATGGACTTCGTGCGGGCATTAATTACAGGGCCCGTAGATACCCCGTATAGTCGGGGATGCTTTGTCTTCGATGTTTATTTCCCTTCGACGTACCCTAACGTCCCTCCACTGGTCAAACTCATTACCACGGGTAACGGGACGGCAAGGTAAAGATGGACACGATAGATGTTGGTGCTGCAATGCTGTCAAACTTTTATTCAATGCTTATTTTGATTTTAATTTCAGATTTAATCCAAATCTTTACCAAGATGGAAAGGTGATTACAGCCAAACCTCTTATTAGAGAAGTATAGTTGTGAAATGAAATTTAGCCGCCAAAGGTGCCCCAAGCAGCACGATTCGTTGTTCGACCAATCATAGTGATGTTCATGTCAAACATCGAACTTCACATGAGCCGAACCTAATGGCATCAAAGAAGACCTTGTTATCCATTTGTTTCAATTAGGTTCGGCTCATGTAATGTTCGAAGTTTGACCTGATCATGACGATAATCCTCTATTTGTTATTCCCAGGTTTGTTTGAGTCTCCTTGGCACGTGGCATGGTGGAGATGCTAGTGAGAAATGGGATCCCAAGAAATCGTCTTTGTGCCAGGTAAGTTTTAACAAAAACGATAATGATGATAATGACTTCGATAGTGATGCTAGTGACGTTAATGATGATGGTTATGACGATGTTTGTGGTGATGATGACCCTGTTAATGGCGATGGTGATGTTGATAATGATAATGGTGCTGTAGTTGATGTTGTTAGTGATAGTGTTAACACTGGAGATGATGATGATGATGACGACGCTGATAATGATGTTTGATGGAAGTGTTGATAATTTTGATGACGCTGATGATGATTTCAAATGAGTGATGCTGATAATGTCTAGGTTGACGACGCTGATTATGATGGTTGTGCGGTCGACTGCGCTTTACAGGACTTTTGGTTGACGCGACATAAAAGAGAAATCATTAATCAAAAATACGACCAAGAACAGCTTTTCATGATGTAGTTTCTGCAGACTCTAAAGCATTTTTGTATGACTGAAAAGCTCGTTGCCTTGCCGCGACCCTGATGTTTTGTAAATTTTTGAATGGCTGATTTTTTTCCCGCGCAATATGATTGGTCTGGCAATGCCTTAACCGTGTCCGCGCCTTGCTCCTGCCGTGTTTTGGACATTTAATTGGACGGAGAGTAAATTCTCGCGCAATGTGAAAAGTCTAGCGTATCCTTTGCCGTGTCACGACCGTGTTCGTGCTGCGAGCTTTTCACAGTCATACGAAAACCGTTCTTTATAAGGCGTATAGATTGGTAATGTTGACAAAACATTGGCGATGTGTAGAACCAGTTGAAGCAATACTGCATGTAACAGGAATAGAGACTATTGTCTTGAACCATCTGATTACTACTTCCAAAACATCTAATATCTTTTATCTATTGCTGTTAGCCTTTACTCTCCTTGGCGCTCGAAAAGCCAGAATTTAATTAATAGACGATTCCTATGATAGATAACAAATACCATCAAAGAAAAACAACTGAAATATCAGCCTTGAGCTACGCGGTTGTTACTGATTTTATTCGAGGTTCAATATCAAAAGTCACCTCGATGTTTTGGCGTCAGACGTCCTTCATCCACGTAAATAGAAATCGATACGCTTTTTACGTCTTTAGAAAACTCATTATTTCCAACTGTCTATATTATGACCTGAGGTCAATGTACTCAAACCCCACTCCATCACCCAAGAAGGAAAATTGATTCCTTCGTAATAATCTAGGAATTAGCTTGACTCTCTCTGAGATTTATCAAGCACTCTTTATTAGTTTTCTTCACTACTGTCTTCCTATATACTAATCCCTACTCCAGAAATGGAAATTGATTGTTAACGTGTCTTGAATTTGAATTGGTTCGACTCTTTCTGATTCAGGAACTCTTTATTAGTTTCCTTCATTTCTGTCAGTTTTTCCTCAAGCTCCCTTCCACACCCCTTCGGCCTAGTAAAGAAATTTTTTCTTTTATACAATAGGTAAGGAAATGGTTACTCTCTCAGGGACATAAATCTTCTTAGTTATTTTTAGAATATCTTTTTTGCGAATACGATTTCCAAAATAGACCAATTCGGCTAATGCAACGTTTTACCAAATTCAAATTTACTGGGAATACTTTTCTTTGTCTATTATATTGAATACACATCATATCAATATATATCAATGCTTCTTTGACATACCAATATTATTGGAGAAAGTATTCCCATTAGTTTTGAATTGGGTTAAATATTGCGATAGCCGAATTGATCTATTCTTACCCAACCCCAAAGGAAAACTAACTAGTTTTAAATCCCCCACAAAGTATCATCAATTGGTTGAACTCTGACAGAGATGTGTCATGCACACTTCTCGTTAGTTTTCTTTAGAGTTTCTATTTATCGCCATCCCCAAACTCTTAAGTCCATAAAAATTGTTTTGAATCTCGTAAAAATATAGGATATATTCTTTAGTTTAGATTGTTGCTTTAATGACAAGGCATCCAAACCTTTGCCTTGGGTTTGTTGTGGTTGGGTGCAGATCTAGATGACCAGAGCGGCCATATATAATTAATTAAGATTTCCTTATCAGCCTTAGGGTACATTGAAATTGTTTGATCCTGCTCTCGTGATAAAGAAAGACTCGTTCTTTTACTAAATCCCTTTTTAATAATCAATCTTTTCCCCTTTCCTGTTTTTTCTCCTTTTTTGTTTTTCCTTTTTTATACTTTCTTTCTTTCTTTTTTTATTTTTTGCTTCTAACTTTTTCCCTCATTTACATTTCCTTCCTTTATTTTTATCGTGCGCAAAATTTACTACCACTACACCACTGCTACTATACCACTACTACTTTACCACTACCACTACCACTACCACTACACCACTACCACTACACCACTACCACTACACCTTTACCACTACACCACTACCACTACACCACTACCATTACACCACTACTATTACACCACTACCATTACACCACTACTACTACACTACTACCA